TCAGCACGCTCGACGCGTATTCGAGAAGCCTGTGATTCGAGTCCCGGAGAAGGCGTTGCTCATTTTTCACATTTTCTGCTTCCAAACTAGCCTAATGTCTCTACAAATTGAATATAATTAAAAACAAGCAGCTGAAAAAGTTAATGAAATTTAGAACCAAATTCACCATTAATATCATCATAGCAAAAACCATTGTCATAGAAACAGCAATCAAAACCTTCACCAGTTTATTATTAGCACTACCTGCAAATACAATTTTGCAATTAATTCCGTTGAAAAATGCAAACACAACCAACATCATTAAAAGGAATAATAATAATTCTGTTTTTTTTTTAAATCGCATTTTTATGTTATTTTGATTTAACAATTTTTCATGGTAAAATAATCATAGTCTACTTTTCCATTTATCTTATCAACATTTACTTCAGTTTGAATGGTGCATTAAAAAAATCTGCATTGAATTTAATTGTGAAATATTCCAGGTAAAACATTCTTAGAATCAACATTTTGGGGGCAAAGATTATTACTGGTATTAATGTACAATATATTTCGAAGTAATTTATGATAATTAATTTTAAATGTGAAAATTTGAGAGTATTTAACGAATTACGATAGTTCCTGCAAATGCATAAAGTTACACAGAATTTTCTGTTTAACTTCGAAATACTACCTAACATACGATAATTCAGTTACAAAAGCATGCAAAATAGGAGACGAAACTTAACTATATTTTCAAAATATAATCTTCATTTCCATTTCGCCTTTAAAGTTCATTAAATTTTCTTAATAGGTGATTTATAATTACATTTGGTTTGTTAAATGAAATTCAATCACTTCAACATCAGTTCTAGGCAATGCCGGAAGAGTTGAATTGCAGAAAAGTAGAAAAATCTCTTCAGTCCAAATTTTACACCGTCTTCCAAATGGAAAAATTTTCAACTTCCATTAACACATACTTTGGTTCCAAAAGAAACTGTAGATAAGACAAGAAAAGAAGGTTTTTTTTTTTAAGACAATTAATGCTTTCTTGAATAAAATTTCACTAATTTTTTTCTAGTGGTCGTGAGATTATTCTTTATTATTTTTTATTTAGTTAAATCATATTCTTCAATTAATCACATAACTAGCTCATTTTGGTCTTTTTATAAGTAATCGATTCTGTACGAATAAGGCTGCTATTATTTTGCTAACAGTTTCTAAGCAGAAAATGGGTAAAAAATCAAAATGTTTTTTAATTGCTTGCTATTGTTGCCACAAGAACGCAAATAAGTAAACAAAATAATTTTGTTTACTCATTACGAAGAAGAAACATTGATGGCAAATACAATATATATATATATGTAAAATGTACAAAATAGGACGGCTTTGGTTTTTCGAACCAACAACCTTTAATTAACTTTTCGCAATTTAGAATTTCCTCCTAGACCAGTACCTTCGAGAACATGCCAGCTTATTACATAACCGCTAGTATAAATAATGAGCTCGCGCCATTTTGACACACATCAACAGAAGCTACTGCTGCGCTACAGCACCTCGCTGCTGCTTTTCTGCTTTGTTAAAAGTATGACGCAGTAAATTTAAAGTAGTATTATTTAGTAACGAATATTGTTCGGCTTCTGAAATTGAAATAAAGATATGGAATAGTAAGAAGCGAAATCCTGTGTCCTCTTTGGATACCGACTTAACACTCAGCTATCAGAATGGCAAGCTTCATCACGACTGCTGGAAAATATCACGTGAGGATGTTAATCATTTAATAATAGCCTGCCCATAAACGGCTGTTATTTTAAAGAGTTGTTGCGAAAAATCCAGCCGCGGTGAGATAGCTTCCCGACAACCCGGGTTAGAATTGACAGATTTGGCGCGAAATCATCCATTTTTCGATATTTGGCGACAGAATTGGCGATATGCCATAGACAGAGCGAGAACATTTTAGAACACAATCTTAGCGCTTTTCTCGGGAATATTCTCGAAGGTAGGTTAAAGCTATATATACCCTGCCTGTACGCTGAGAAAGTAGTAAATGTGTCTTGAATTCAGAGATTAGCTTGAGAGCGGTCGATCGAGTCGGGAGCTTTACTTTAGTGCTTTGCCGTGAAGCTGTTTTCACTGTTATAGCCTGAAGGCTGCGTTGCCCAGTGTTTCAGGGTGTTTGTCGTAGTTTTTCGACGAACTTAAAAAATGTCTTTGGAAGGGTCCAGTGTAATAGTGCTTACTGGCGAATAAATTGTCTTTTGATTCTTCATCAAGTGTTATCATCAATTACTTCAAATCCACAAACCCGTAGAACGTAGTACTACGTCTTTCAACTTACTTTCTGCAAAGCATTGCCGGATTGTGAAAGGTATTTTAAATTAAATGTTTCGTCAGAATTAAACAGTTGATATCTATTGTTGTGGATTTAACCCCTTCGAGCCGGGTAGCGTAAACGCGCGCTTATCGCTGAGGCCGGCAGTGTCTTACGCGAGCGTCTCTCCAGGGCCGGGGGCTTTTTTGCTACTAAGCCTAAATCCATGAAATCTCCGAAGTATCAACGCATTGTTTAATAATGCTCTATAGAGTATTTAAACGGCTTATGCTTTATAAAATTTTAATATTATATACTTTAATTACCTTATTTCTTGTTTAAATGCATATTTTACACATTTTATTTTAATTACTCACCATTTTATGAATTTTAACATTATACATCTGAAAACTAAATATATTACTTAAAATTCTCTTAATCGTCTTCAAATATTGATTTAATGTTTTATTTTTCTTTCCTTTACTTTTTTATCTTTGGATGTGCGTGTGAATTCAGATTTAAACATTTGGACTTACTTATTCATGCATTCTTCTGGTACTATTTCTTTCCATAGTCACATTAATATGAAAAAAAAACTGAGTCGTCCTTCCATTCTTCTTTTTTGTGCTTTAGCGTTGCATGAAATACAAAGATTACTGATTTTTCAGTTTAAATAACTCTCATATAAACTGAAGAAAAAATGTTATAATAATTTTGGTAACTTCCGCTTTAAATTCTGCAGTACAATAGCGCTAGACAGAAAAATAGGAAACAAAATCTTCTCATAACAAAGTGGGAATTTTTTGAGAGAAAAGGATACAAAGAAATACATAAAAATAAACACGCTTTATTGCTTAGACTTTGGGGTTTTAAGAGATTGAGGCGAAGCTAAGAGCTTCTCTTTGCAAAGGGTTCCTCTTCCTGTTACCTTGGTAACGTCACTTCCGCTTGTGAACTCGCTTCCTCAATGTAACTCTTCGATTTTCCGGCGTTGTTAACTTTTCTCTTGTTTTTGGTTTTCAGTTGGGGGAGAGACACATATTCATTTATTTTCAGGTATTTTGTTGTAACAAAATCCTGCCACAGGTTAAAATAGAATGTAAAATAATTGGAGAAATGAATAATATGTTTATTTAATAACCGTTCCTCTCATTTCAATTTTTCGAAAACTAATAGCTTGTGTTTTTACGCTGTTGCTTAAAATATTGGCAACAAATAGGGACATCTCTCCCCCATGTCTATACATGAAATTAAAAAACAAACTGCAATTCTGTAAACATTTTCAGATTTCACTTTGATAGAAATATTTTTAAGATAAACAATTAACCATAGGCGTACTGATTTTAAAATTTAACTCTGGAACTTCAAGATAAAGAATATAAAATCATATATTTGAAGTCAGCTGTTTAAAACATCAGTACCAAACAGTAAGAAAAAATGTGCAAATGTGCTGTTATATTATTTCAACATATGTTGACGTTACATGGAAACATGTGCACTCATCTTTATAAGGAGATGACTTATTGAAGATGCAGCTGTCCACGCTTTTCACCGGGTCGCCTGCGCATGAGAGCTGCAACAAATATTTTCTACATACAAATTGCAACATTGTAATGATCGTGTAAACAAAAGGGGGAAATTTTTCCAGAAGGGATATTAATGTTGTTATGGCATTTTGCTTTGGTTCGCTATAACCGAAGTTTCACTTTTCAAATTGTTGCCACTAAATGTTAGATCTCTGCATTATAGTTAAAGAAATTAAATAATTAAAAATCTGAATGAATATATGTATGTCTCTCGCACTGTGGAAAAACAACGGTACCTTGAGACATCAAATTTTGAATAACGTAATCCTCCACTTAAATATGGGCATCTGGAAGCTTTTGGAATTTGGAATTTGATTTATTATCTGTTTCATATTTAGTAAACCTTTAATGAAGTTTGATTAACAATTTCAACGACTTCAAAGCGAGCAATGCCAACACTGTACGAAAGAAAAACGTTTTTATTTTCAGCGTGAGAGACTGTAATAATCAACGGCATCTTTAGGCTCGTTAAGACTTCGGTATATGTAATGACTATCTTTTGAGATAGTCATTACATATACCGAATTGTAAAATGTCAGAGACATTGCTAGTACAATTAAAACTAATCATTGTCATCGTTCTTGGTAGAGCAAGAATATCCTTAATACGAGTAGAAGGCCAAAACTAAGTGCTATTCCCTGCAGTACTGATGGAAGTTACAGATTTTAATTTAGGGAAACTATGGCTGGTATGTATTAAAGCTAGACCTTACAGACTCTGCATACTTTTAAGGATGGTTCTTCATACGCTATATAGATGAAATCTAAATTCTTATGAATTCTTTTACAGGTATAGTCGATAACGAATCCCTTATAACAGTCAATAATGCACAAATCCACATAGCGATATAACGACTCTGAATATTTGAAAAGTTAGAATTTCCAGAGTGTAGAATAACTTAAGGAGCATGAGAAATATTTGCTTTAAAATCTTTCTTAATTCAAGTATATATAAACAACATTTGTTGCCAGTTTTGCATTTATTTCATGAGTAATAGCAGACTTTAAATTTTTAATTGAAATACAAATATTTTTTTTTTGTTTATACAGCTGCCAATTATGTATCTTTCTTTTTTCCTCTTGAATTCGAAAATTAGATCCCTTAAATTAAAAACTATAAATACTTACTTTTGCATTTTGTATATTCGATCATCCGATTTCGTGGGAAAGTTTGGCTTCCATCTAAAAGCAATGTGGAGTTACCTCCATTTTCGTAAACTATCATTTAATTTTTATTCCCTGTGTAATACTTCTCTGGCAATATGAAGCAACTCCAATGATGGAACACAGAAAAAAACTTTATTTAGCACTCAAAATGGCGACATACAAACAAGAAGAGAAAACATATTCTCACATTTTAAAAATAAATTACATTCTTCGTGCGAGAGTCGCACGTGGCACTCGAGTCTGGTTTCAAATATTGCCATTCACAAATACCTTAATGTTCATCTATTTAAATTATTTAAACTACAAGATTTTAATACTATTTAAAGCTGTTACACCTGTCTACCGAACAGAGGTAGATGACTATTGAACAAAATAGGGCAACTACGCTCGACAAATTTCTGTCAGGTTTTGGTAATAAAAGTTTAAAAGTAGTGTAATTAATAAAAATCCATGTAAACAAATTTTTTTTTTAATTTTAATTTTTCTCCTGTAGAGGTGTTAATTCAAGGATTAAAAATGAAAACAACAAAGCCTCTTTGAATATAATATGCTGTTAAAATATTACAGTAAACTCTTGCTGAACTCGGGAGTTACGTAAGTTAAGACAGGGTATTAATGACGCTAATATGACTTTCTAGAGAAAAAATCGGATGTGTACACCACATGACTTCCTTGTACGGAATATTAAATTATACGCATTTTTTCTTGCATTTCATTTAAACTTATTAGATTTAATTAAACCTACTTCGCCGACAGCGCATAAACCACAATAAAATAAATGCATTCTTTAAAATTCACTTTGTTTACCATAGCGACACTCTCGCGCTAGGTTTACTTAACAGGTTATATTTCGTTCATAATATAACGCGCTAGTTATATTTCGTTAGTTAATAACGCGCTAGGTTATATTTTGTTCATAATATAACTCAGAATGCACAAAATTTATATCATTTAAAGAATTATCTAATCGTTGCCACATGTTATATTCAAATACTATAATAAAGCTAGAACGATGTATAAAAGAAATTAAGCAAACAAAACAAAAAAGAAACAGTTTTTCACAAACGATTGAGTATTTCTCATTCAATTAATTCAGTTTTTACTTCGCGACAAGGCAGAAATACATAAAAACTCAAAATATCTGTATTAAAAATTACGAAGTAACTCTTAAACGCTTATTTCCTCGAAAAAATTTCAGAAAGGATTAAGCATGATTTAAATAATAAATGAAGCGTTATCTTTGTTGTTGCGAAGCTAAGTTTCTCTAGATTGGCAACAAATCCGATACTCAGCTGTTTCAAATGTAAACAAGAGCAATGGCCGCTATCAAATTAGGCTTAGCGGCACTTAAACAATTTTAAAATTATTGATAATTCTAAAAATATTCCATACAGATTTACTAAAGGCATAAAATCCTTAACCGGAAGATAAAAACAACATAATTCAATCATTTTTAAAGCAAAAAATGTACAATTTACAAACATATAAGAGTAAAGAAACTGAGATCACTGAGCCGGGTAACAGAGTGGATGTATATATATATATATAAATATATCTATATACGTTTGGTGCAGCCGATTGCAACCAAAATACGAGGTACACATCTACATGCTATAGTAGTCTTATATACAAAATTTCAACGTTCTGAGGCTACTCGTTTTTGAGTTATGCGAGATACGTACGTACATACGTTCGTACAGACGCCACGAAAAATTGTCTTTAGAATTCATTTTAAAGCAGTTTTTTGATTTTTTTGAGGAAAAGAGTCTTTTATTCTGTCCTTACGTACAGATATCATGCAAAAACATCTTTAAATTGCATTCGAAAGCGGTCAAAGTGGATATTTTCGTTGAAATATGCTGCCTGAAGCGCTTCGCGATTACAATACTTCCTTTTTACTTCGTACAAGGAAGTAAAAATGTGTTGGGTCTAATTCAGATTAAGTAAGTTTGTATAATTTAAGTAAATATAAATATTGGCGTAATCAAAAGAAAAAAAACCGAAATAATGTTAAATGATAAGATTTTTATTACTGCTTATTAGTATGTTATTACGATTATTTTTTAAGAAGCTCGTGATTTTTGCTTCAGACAATGACTGACGCAACACTCATCCAGTTCTTCATTTATCGATTCATTCTCTCACTTGGGTCTTTAATTTTTAAAAATCATTTGCTGTCATTCATTTTTTATTTCGCATGATTTGTTTGGCTTCATTTTCAGTCCGTGGTAATCTTTTAGCTGATGCCTGCAAGCATTCAGTGTTGATGAAAGAACGCATACCAGCGTCTTAATGAAATTCTAGTTCTGGACAAATTAAATGAAAACAATTTGTATAACTGGTGCATGCGAAATCGCGTGCCGCCAAATTTGCTCTCTGTAAAATTTGGTGTGAAATTTATCGAGAAATATAAAAAATTATGTTGGCACCCTTTTTTTCAGTTCCCGCCTCAATTAATTCACTTGGCGAAATTTTTAATTTACGGTAACCTATTTTTCTTTCCCTTTCATTGTGCACGAGTAGAAAAAGAATGCTTATCGTTCATTCTTTCAAATACTTTTAAAAAACTGCGTAAATCACATTTGAGGTTATTATAACAAATATGCCAAATTTCAAAACCTGTCAATATGTAATTTCACGTGTATCTTAGGAAAGTTTGAGTAAAAAGCTCTAATTTTTTGCAGGCATACTTAGAAATAAATCTACTTTAACATGATAGCAAAAAATTTGCAGGTCGTAACAAAAAACTTTTTCGAAAATTTTATAAAAACTAAAAAGTACAAATTAAAAAAAAATATATATCAGAAAATAGCTCCTAATTTTATTTAAATGAACCTAAATTTTCAACTGTGAAAGGAAGAATCAAGTAAATTTAATAAAATAAGAGATATTAATAAATACATACGACATTAAACTGACATTTTGATGAGATAATGTTTTAAAAACTACTCTTGAGATTCTTACGAAACTTACTTTGAGTCGTAGAACCGAAATATGAAAAAATGTAGGTATATCATTTCAGAACATGCCCGACTTTGTGTTAATTAAATTACTTATGTTAGAACAATGCTGTATTCAAATCTGATACATATCCTAAGTCGCGCTTTCAAGACATGGAAAACACAAGTTAAATTTCTTCAATAGGCTCAGTAGAGCGGAAAATATAAAACTGTCCTTTTTTTCTGCAAGGTGTAATTTATTAAGTATAACATTTATTCAGTAAATTACATAATAAAGTCCAACTTGAGTGAATCTTTTGATACTCAAATCTGTTTGGATAATCCTTGTTCCTTCGTATCAAATACAAACCTTAAAGTTAAATTATTTACTAAAAACACCAACCCTTTTGCTTTTGTGAGACTCATTACGTATCTATCCTTTGAACTTAATAATCCAATTTTCGTACTTTAGTTGGGGCAAAAAATCACGAACTCTAGTGTTTACGTTTTAATTAGCCTTTCAATCAATGCATCGTTTTTATTCGCATTCTGCTGCAAATATAATGCAGTACTGCTATTATCCGAAGGCGTTTTTGTGATAGCCCTAACGAATATGTCTTTGTATTTTTTCTCGTTTTTATTCTGCCGTTGGAGGATTGTTAGTACTCAAAACAGAATGCATTATCATTTTATGTATGGTCAGTGATTTCTTGAATTTGATGAAAACTTTTAATGAGTCATTCAGATAAAAAACATCAAGGAAAAAATGACAAAAATAAAAGAAACGGAAGAAGGGAATGGATTTGCAACATGGTAGATCATTCTACGGGAAACGTATAGTTAATTTTTTTACAGCGGAACGTAAATATTGCAAGAATATTATTAGTGGCTGCAATCGAGAATTCAAGAAAGAAAATTATTAAGATTTTAGAAGAAAATATCCGTTTCTGTATCACAAATACATTTTAGAAAATTCGGGAAGTAAAAGAAAATATTTTCGTTCCTTTAGCATGCTTTTTCTTAATTGAAAGCTCTCCTTTTCTATCACATTGTCCAACTAAACTACAGTTCAGAAAAAGTAAACAATTCGATTATTTAAAAGTAAAAGCAACAAAAATTTCGAAATGAAATTGCATAACATGAAATTAAGTTCGCTATTTCGCGGAATGAGGTTTAACAAAAAATAAAGGAATAAAGTGGCTTAAAACGCTTTGAAACGCATAAGCTGCTTTTAAAAAGTAGAACGTTTTTATTGCAGAGTTAACGGATTGCGACATGGTTTTCGCATTACCACACACATCGAGAGGAATGCTGTTGTAAGGTAGACTTAATTTCATAGCGCTATCAGTTTTCACGCTACACTGCAGGCCATTAAAATTGTTACACAATGAAGGTGGTATGTACAAAATGTCAAATTTGAACAAGTACTACATGCTTAGATATTGAAATCACTGGCATTCAAAGCATGCTTACAAAGCAAGTATGAGTAACGCTATCTACATTGGGTATAAATGAGAAGATAGCACAGGGTGGTATTTGACCGGGTCTGGCACCAGGGCCTCCTTCATAAACTCATCCAACTTAATCTTCCGGATTTTCTCATCCACCTCATAGCCTCCTTCTTCGCCAACCGGAGCTTCAAGGTGCGAGTGGGAAGTATCTTCTCTTCTTCCGCTGCTTCTTGAGTGCTTCTATCCGCAGCATCCAAGCCGATGTCCCACAGGGAAGTCTGCTTGGGCTCGTCCTTTTTAATCTATACACTCATGACATTCCTCACGATCCCAGGATTCAGCTCACTCTTTTTGCGGATGATACTGCCATCTTTACTCGAACAGCCGATTTAAAATACGTTATAAATCCCCTTCAAAGCTACCTACTTACTCTTGAAGACTGGTATACCAAATGGCGCATGGCTGTCGATATACAAAAGTCTGCCGCAATTATCTTCCGAAAAGTAAATTCCAATAGAACTCTAGATGCAATCCTCCTCTTTGGCGAACAAATAGAAGAGACTAGCAGCAAGGTAGGTAACCTTGAAGTAAATCTCTACAGCAAGCCTACCTTCAAAAATCATTTGAAGAAAGTTCATGGAAAATTTAATTATACTATTTGCAGTATGATCCCTCTTCTTGAACGCCATAGCAAGCTCTTCATCAAAGACAAGGTTATATTATACAAGTCTGTCC